ATATTGTGTGATATAGAAGCCAATAAAGGTACATTTATAGTATAATTCTTTAGTTAACTCTTTCATTGATGGTCTTCAATCTCTTAAAGGGATTGTAAACAGGTTTTCTAAAAAAAAATTACGTGTATCGGGAACACTAATAGCATCAATTTGTACCATTCCAATCTCCAATCAGACGTCTGTGGTTCCTGTAATTCCACTAAAACTAAGTGTTTGATGATTTCACGAATTGCTATATCACACAAGGTCCTTTCCGATTAGTGATGTCACCAAACACTTAGTTTGAGTGGAATTGTAGGAACCACACACGTCTGATAGATAATTGGAATGGTGAATATTGATGCTATCAGTGTCCCTGATACACATAAAAAAAAAATTAAAAACCCCTTCACAATCCCTTTGAGGTAGACGTGTTTTAATTATTTGACCCAAAATCTGTATAAGTTTGTGTAGTCTGCTTTGTCTATGACGTGTTTGGAACTGCATATAGACCAAAATGATCTTCAAAAAAGAAGAATAATTGTTAAGAGTTTGAAAAGAATTTGTTGACTACTCAACGGCCTACCTTGACAGTTACACCGGCGCTCTGCAACAGATTCAGCTTCACGGAAACTGCCGAGGATTGCCGAATGGTTGACTACCCTGTCGATGTTACTTTGGTGGATAGATTTTATAAAGGATATAATGAATTGTAGGGTGTGAAATAATAGCATCATTCATCATCCCAGAGGGTTATACGTGCAGATAGATTGGAAAAAGTTGAAAATTTTTGTTTTCTGATTCACGCTGATTGATCACTTGTTGATTTTGTGAATTTTGAGGCGCAACCATTACCCAACTGGTAGACAGGATCCTCGAGAATCCCGCTTATACTCGTGAAATCGTTGCCAAGAGGTGCGACCATGATCCAATTGGTAGACAGGATACCCGAGAATCCCGCTTAAACTCGTGAAATCGTTGCCAAGAGGTGCTACCATGATCTAACTGGTAGACAGGATCCCCGAGAATCCAGCTTATACTCGTGAAATCGTTGCCAAGAGGTGCGACCATAATCCAACTGGTAGACGGGAACTTCGAGAACCCAACTTTCTACTCATGTAAAAGCGTTGTCAAGAGGTGCGGCCGGGAACCCAACTTATACTCGTAAAATCTTTGCAAACGGTTTTGGTCAAGGACTAACTACATGAAGCAGACAGATCCCCGAGAAATACCCGTAAAAGCATTGCCTGGAGTCGAACAAAGATCCAACAAGTAGAAATCATCCTTGAGAACCTTAGTTGTTACTTTCTCGGTTGTGTTTCAGTTCTTAGGCTGACCTGGCTTTGAGCACATAAACATTCTTTCATTTCGTTACCCGTGAGCATCCTTTAACAGCTATGCGTCCTCTAGTGGCTCATCTAATGAATCATACATCCACTGCAACCCTAGTGAGATCACACTACGCAAAGGAAGACATTCCCACTCACTAGCAACTGCACCCAACTCACTACCGACTTCACTCAACACACTACCGACTGTACCCTCCTCACTACCGACTGTACTCTCCTCACTGCCGACTGCACCCAACTCACTACCAACTGTTCCCAACTCACTACCAACTGTTCCCAACTCACTACCAACTGCATCCAACTCACCTGACCATTGCAATATCCAAGTTCATAATTTTAAAATATTTAAAACAGAAGACAACGACCGTGGAATCAGAAACCAGAGGTTGCCTTCAGGGTAGATCTAATAAAAGAAATAAGCATGACTCCATTCAAAAAGTATTTCATCATGACGTTAAAAAATTTGTCAAAATTTATTTTTATAGAAAATCTTTCCTTTGTTTATTTTTATCTTAGCAATTAATCCTTTGTGTTTTTAAAGGAGATATAACTCGTTTCTGAAATCGAAAAAATATTTCTCTATATTATAATTTACTTAAATTACCTAATTTGTTTTGTACCAGGTTATATATTTTTCCTGTGCCAGTGATTCAGGGAGTCGGCCAGGTGTCGGCTCTCATCCCTATAACCCAATTTAGGATTATTAGATCTACGTCGAAAATAAGAAGAGAGATGGTATGATTATTTAGACCTAGCTACTTTCGATATTGTTGCTATTTTCTACGGTATGAAAAACTCAATGACCGAGTTTTACGGCCATGTCAACCGACCAGACCAGATCTAATGATTTCTCAACTACCAATTCATCAGTACCAAACCATCAAATTGTTCCTACTAACAACTTACTACCTACAACAAACAACATCCAAGACTGCGATATCAGCTTTTCCTGAAAGCGGGAGTTAACGGTGTCATCAACAGTATTTCTAACCGATTCTTTCAAGCTGCGCTGTTGTCAGGCCCGCAGCTACAGGAGGCAAGGGGGCGTAATGCTCCTCGAAAAATTTTTTTGCCCCCTTTGAAAAAAACCTGACAACCGAACAATACCATTACTGCAACTAAACACAATACACGCCTCCGAATATTACTTGCCGAAGAATCAAGCCTGGCTAGGGTCCTGGATGTTGTAGTCAGCCACATGACTCAAACTGACTCATTCCTAAACATCATGTATACTTTGGCTTTTTTATTTTCGTATAGACAACGACTAGGTATACCCTTTTAATTTAGCCCAAGGCTTAATATGCAATCCCAAAAACTAATCAATATTCTCCATAACGTCAATGATAAAACATCAATCACTGATCACAAACCAAAAATAATTTGGGAAGAGTTCATCTGGGTTGTGAATAATTACCGTGTGAATCGCGCCCTTTCTTTCATTCAGAACTTTCGGTGCAGACGACAGGTTGGTTATTATTTTATAATCTTTATATTTATGTTATAGATTAAGTTTATTATGCTTATAGTTATATTTATGTTTTAGGCTGAGTTTATTATGTGTATATTTATGTTATATTTTAGGTTGAGTTTATAATATTTATATTTATGTTATATTTTAGGTTGAGTTTATAATATTTATATTTATGTTATATTTTAGGCTGAGTTTATTATATTTATATTTATGTTATATTTTAGGTTTAATATTAATAATTATGTTATATTTTAGGTTGAGTTTATAATATTTATATTTATGTTATATTTTAGGCTGAGTTTATTATATTTATATTTATGTTATATTTTAGGTTTAATATTAATAATTATGTTATATTTTAGGTTGAGTTTATAATATTTATATTTATGTTATATTTTAGGTTGAGTTTATTGTGTATATATTTATGATGTATATTTATGTTATATTTAGGCTGAGTGTATAATCTTTATATTTATGTTATATTTTAGGTTGAGTTTATTATGTGTGTATTTCTGTTGAGTTTATTATGTTTATATATATGTTATATTTTTAGATTTTTAGATCCATAATCATTTACTTTCAGAATGACACCGTATATAGTAATATTGTTGTTTTTAGTCCCATACTCGGATTCGTACACGCAATGTAAGTATTCTGTATATCCTTGGACGTAAAATTCTATAATCCTGAATTTTGTTCATCAGTGGACTTACCTAGTGTCAAACTATACAACAGAATCTCTCTATAATCTAATAAATCTATAAAACTAAGTAATAATCCATTAAACTAAGTAATTTTGAAACATGCTTAGAAGAGTGTTTCAATAATTATTTAGTTTAATAGATATATCATCTTATATAGAGATTCTATTCTTTAGTCATGATACCTGGTAAGTCTAACTGATGAATATATACACTTATTGACCATGTTAGAGACTTTAAATTTTATGAGGTAGTATTCCTTTAAAATGTGATTGAAAACACAAAATTAATGTCAAGAAGGCGAAAAATGTCAATCGGTTTTCCGAAAGAATAAAGATTCCAGGTTGATTCCGATGAATTTGGTGCAATTACAGCTTCTGTAGACATGGCTTTCGACATGGGAGCAGCACGACCGGGAAATTTCTAGCTAGTTTTTATGAAATCATCTGTGCTGTGATTGTACAAAAAAGCACACTCCTATAAATTTATTTTTTTTCATTTTTTAGTTATGACCAATTCTCTTGATTTAAACCTCCAAACCGACAAGAGTCTACCAACCAGAGGTGATGGTAGGTAAACAATTTTTCTTAAAGGAAAAGGCTCACCTTTTTGGGGGGGAGGGGGTGGATTTGGGTTATGTAAGTAGTCTTCTGAAATACTAGAAATTTAGCATAATTCCTTGAAAAATATCTCAAACTAAGAATTTGATATCTATAGATGTCTTTTCTATATATGACATAGTCTCAAGAGAAGACGAGTTGTCTTTTTAACTTTCAAACGCAGATAATTCTGAACAGTCATAGTTTTGAAGGCTCTTATTTAGACAGTGAGCTGTGAACACTATTACTGATTAGCTTAGCTAATAAATTCCCGTTTCTGAGACTAAGGTACGATTGCTCAAATGGATGGCAAATCTGTCGAATTAATCTCTGTATCAATTTGTACTAGCTAGTAACATTTTGTGATTGTCTTTATTGTAACAGACATGGCGTTACACTTCCAGTTCAGAAAAAAATTGTTAAATTTTGGGAAACGGGTGCAGAATTCATAAGATTAATCCTCATATATTCAAAATATGATCAGGAATAACCCGCCCCGTGGCCAGACTTGATTGTTCGTAGGGGGAAGTAATATATCCAGAGGGAGAAGTAATATATTCGGAGGGGGTAGTAATATATCCGGAGGGAGAAGTAATACATCTGGAGGGGCATTGGTGTTTATTAAGTTGCAGGTATGGAATCGATCGGTTGTCAGAATGCAATTTTGACTCAATCCCCTTTGCTGGATTCGAATTCTGTTTTCTTTTCTTAATTAATAAGGTTTACCACAATGTTTCTTATTCTAGGATCACGTACTGACCAATCATCGATGTACACGACAGATTCCCGACCAAATTCTCTCGTCAATCAGCAACCAAACCAACCAATTCCCAACCAGGATCTTGACTTGTCCTATATTCTTCGCAATGTAATACAAAAGACACCAATCACCAACAATAACGTAAACCCTGGATCAGAGACACCGAGTACCTATAATAATGTAAACCCTGGATCAGAGACACCAATCACCGACAATAATGTAAACCCTGGATCAGAGACACCAATCACCGACAATAATGTAAACCCTGGATCAGAGACACCAATCACCGACAATAATGTAAACCCTGGATCAGAGACACCAATCACTGACAATAATGTAAACCCTGGATCAGAGACACCGAGTACCTATAATAATGTAAACCCTGGATCAGAGACACCGAGTACCTATAATAATGTAAACCCTGGATCAGAGACACCAATCACCGACAATAATGTAAACCCTGGATCAGAGACACCAAGTTCCTATAATAATGTAAACCCTGGATCAGAGACACCAAGCACCAACCAGGATCTTGACTTGTCCTATATTCTTCGCAATGTAATACAAAAGACACCAATCACCAACAATAACGTGAACCCTGGATCAGAGACACCGAATACCTATAATAATGTAAACCCTGGATCAGAGACACCCAATACTTACAATAATGTAAACCCTGGATCAAAGACACCCAGTACCTATAATAATGCAAACCCTGGATCAGAGACACCCAGTACCTATGATAATGTAAACCCTGGATCAGAGACACCCAGTACCTATAATAATGTAAACCCTGGATCAGAGACACCCAGTACTTATAATAATGTAAACCCTGGATCAGAGACACCCAATACTTATAATAATGTAAACCCTGGATCAGAAACCAAAAACTACCAAACACCATTAGAGCCAAATACTCCAAACGAGAAGATTCTTAATCTTATTGATGTTCTACATTCCCTGAACATTACACCACAGTCTATAGATCTCCTTTTGGACAAACACCCCGAAGATCCATCAATTTCCAAAGGCTATGGGACACCTATGAACAGTGAACCAAATCCAATACACTATGCAGATACTCAAACACAAACTGGAAATGCTCTTCCATTAAATCTTGGTAGTCAAAACAAGGGTAAAACTATTCATTATGGAACCTCGCCAGATAGAAACAGTCCATCCAACCAGGTTTTAAATGTTGGAGGTTACAGCGGATACAACAAAGAACAACCTAGCGTTCCTCGTGTTGCTGTTCCACCTAGAGGTAAGCTAAGATTTTTTCTTTTTGTGTACAATTATATTGGAACCTATGTAGTTGAAGAAATATAATTTTGTGAAAAAAAACTTCACCTTTTTACATAGAAAATTTTGCGATTGAGCTCAAATACTATGTAACAGACAGATCCGCCATTTTCGTGGGTTGATTTCGATCTTGAATAATTGTAAATAGTCTTCAGAAATATTAAAAATTTACGAAAAAAATCGCATAATTCCTTCAAAAATATCTCAAACTAGGAATTTTACTTTCAATTTTTATACGTCTATGTATATGTCAGTCATATTTACTTTGCAAACGCGGATAATTCTGGACATGTATTTGAAGGCTCAAATGTTAACGGTGAGCTGTGAACACTATTACTGATTAGTTTAGCTAAAAAAAATCCCGTTTGTGAGACTAAGGTTCTATTGGTCAAACAGATGGCGAAACTGTCCCTCTAACTTCCTTCAACTGTTCAACTTGTCTTCATCGTTCCAGATGTTTGTTTTTTATTCTCAATCTAGATTGTATGTTACGACCCTGGTCCGGAAAACTGAACAGCTACTATCATGTACTGGACCAGTATCTAGAAATACCTTGTGCTCCAGGAACCGTATTCTCACAGTCTCAATGTGTTTGTATCCACGGTCCGCTCGGGATGGTTCTTAATATCAATCAACCAATCTACCACAGTAATGTTCCAGTCGAAAAAGGTAACTATACTTTTATGCTGTTTCCCAATATATTGGGGCTTGTTCAATTTATGGAGACTTTTGAGAGATGTCGGTATTCAAAATGACTCTGTCAGCTTTGCTTGTCACTGGATGTAATCATTTATTCTATCTTAAACGGATTGTAAAAAGGTTTTTTTAAATTTTTGATGTGTATCGGGGGCACTGATAGCATCAATTTGCTATCAGTGTCCCCGATATACTTACAATTACACAATTTAGAAAACCTCTTTACAAGTTCTTTACTTGTGGAGGATATTGCCATTACCATTTTTATTCGATTCCAGCGGCCTGCTATCTGAAGACTGTGATTGGCAGACCATCAGAGTACCTTAATACTAAAATTAATCAAGTGATGTCATGTTCTCCTGGAACTGTTTTCTCTCAGGATATCTGTACCTGTACCCACCGTGTTGGAGGAGATGACCTCTATGAATTGTCGCAAGGTACAAAATGGTTGAATTATATATGTTGGTATTTCTGTATAGGTTTTAGAGGCACTTGATGGTGAGACGTCAGCACGACTCGTCAACGCTGGATTAATCAGGAATATTTATTGTATTAAAGGCATTCCAGCAAATCCTGTAATTCCACTTAAACTAAGTGTTCGGTGATGTCACTAATCGCAAAGGGACTGATTGAAAAAAAATATTCAACAAACGCTTAGTTTGAGTGGAATTGCAGGACGCCTGATTGAAAATTGGAATGGTGCAGATCTATGCTTTCAGTGCCCCGATAAACATTGAGTTATTTGAAAACTTCTGTACAATCCATTAAGGTATAGATTTTAATGTTCATTGGTCCGAATTGAATAACTCTTTCCCGTGTTTCTTTACAGAATGTGAAGCTAATTATGATCTAGATTTTGAAGGGACTTGGTTGCAGAACGATAATCAAGCTCTACCAGTGGGTGGGGGTTGGACAATAAAACTTCAGAATAAAACCGGCTTGTTTAAATCCAACTCGGCCATCAACTTCTGGTATTATCAAGGAAAACCTTTTGATAAAACATTCAGCATCCAAATGGAATTCAAGGATTTATCTTCCGACCACAAAAGACAGAGCTTGCTTACTAATTGTGGTACCAATTTGAATAAAGATCAACCTTCCCTTTTGATTGAGCTGAATAAAAATCAACAGGGTGAATGTCAACTTAGAATTATGGTTGTGACTAGTGTCAAGAAATCCGAGATGACCCTTCCAGTTAGGGTGAGTACTATTTCCCTCTCCGTCTCCGATTTCCCAACGTACAATCTGCAAGTTCATAAAGTTGTTGAACTATCATAGGGACTGGTTAAACCAAATTCACGGGCCCAATCTGTAAGCGGCCCCTACCCACAGAAAAATGACAGGAGAGCCTAATGTTATATTGTATTTTTCAGTCTGGTGAATATAACATGTTATCTCTGGAATATAACCGAGGTTATATCTCAGCGTTTATTGGCTATGAATCAGGACAAACAGCTTCTAACCAGATCAATAGTGGAGGTAGGAATATATCTCAAATATGTAAGATTTGATTGATCAAATGAAATATATAATCATTGCTATGTCAAATCAATTGAGATGAAACCACTGTCATTATGTTGGGATTTGATTTAACAATTGAGATATAATCATTATGATTTGATTGATCAATTGGAATATAATCATTGCTATTTCAAATCAATTGAGATACTATCATTTACTGTGATTATAGTGATCATTAAATATATAACCACTGTGACTATAGTTATCATTAAATATATAATCACTGTGATTATAGTGATCATTTAATATAGAATGGCTGTGATTATAGTAATCATTTAATATATAATCACTGATATCATTGTGATTAAAGTGGTCATTAAATATATAATCACTGTGATTATAGTGATCATTTAATATAGAATGGCTGTGATTTTAGTAATCATTTAATATATAATCACTGATATCAATGTGATTAAAGTGGTCATTAAATATCTAATCACTGTGATTATAGTGATCTTTTAATATATTATAACCGTGATTATAGTGATCATTTAATACATAATCACTGTGATTATAGTGATCATGTAATACATAATCACTGTGATTGTATTGCTCATTTGATATATAATCAATGTGATTGTATTGATCATGTAATACATAAATATTATAGAGAAATAATCACTATGCTTATAGTGATTTGATATAAAATCACTTTGATTATAGTTATCATTTAATATATAATCACTGTGATTAAAGTGATCATTTTATATATAATCACTTTGATTATTTGATATATAATCACTTTGATTATAGTGATCATTTGATATAGAATCACTATTATTAAAGTCATCATTTGATATATAATCAATGTGATCATTTGATATATAATCACTTTGGTTATTGTGATCATTTGATCTATAATCACTGTGATTATTTATATGTAATCACTGTGATTAAAGTGATCTTTTAATATATAAATACTGTGATTATAGTGATCATTTGGTATATGATCACTGTGATTATAGTGATCATTTGATATATAATCATTGTGATTGTAGTGATCATTTGATATATAATCACTGTGACTGTATGGATCATTTGATATATAATCAATGTGATTGTATTGATCATGTAATACATAAATCTTATAGAGATATAATCACTATGCTTATAGTGATTATTTGATATAAAATCACTTTTATTATAGTGATCATTTGATATATAACCACTGCGATAATATTGATCATTTGATATATAATCACTGTGACTGTATGGATCATTTGATGTATAATCACTTTATATTCATTATAGAGATATAATCACTGTGCTTATAGTGATTATTTGCTATAATATACTCACTGTGATTATAGTGATCATTTTATAAATAATCGCTTTGATTATTTGATCTATAATCACTGTGATTGTTTATATGTTATCACTGTGATTATAGTGATCATTATATATATAATCACTGTGATTAAAGTAATTATTTGATATAAATTCACTGTCATTAAAGTGATTATTTGATATAAAATCAATGTCATTATAGTGATTATTTGATATAAAATAACTTTTATTATAGTGATCATTTGATATATAACCACTGTGATAATATTGATCATTTGATATATAATCACTGTGACTGTATGGATCATTTGATGTATAATCACTTTATATTCATTATAGAGATATAATCACTGTGCTTATAGTGATTATTTGCTATAATATACTCACTGTGATTATAGTGATCATTTTATAAATAATCGCTTTGATTATTTGATCTATAATCACTTTGATTATTGTAATCATTTGATCTATAATCACTGTGATTATTTATATGTTATCACTGTGATTATAGTGATCATTATATATATAATCACTGTGATTATTTAATCACTTTGATTATAGTGATTATTTAATGAATTATCAGTGTGAATTATAGTGATAATTTAATATATAATCACTGTGATTAAAGTGATTATTTGATATAAATTCACTGTCAT